ACGTTTCTTCCGTTTTGGTTTTGGGGTGTGACAGTTCCAAACCAACCTCCTTCGTCCCTAAACTCAGTAAAACCCTAACCCTAGCCTCTGTTTTTTTTCTTGAGATTTTGGTGGAGTTTTGGTGGTTTTAAGAGGAAGGAATCACCATAGAAGCATAGTTTCAGCTTGGAGGCTTCATTTGTAACCCTTAGCTACACTTCTGGACCAATGTGAGTAATCAAGATCTAAGCTTTATGATTCGTTATTGCTAGATCTAAGGTTTTATGCATATTTATCCAAGGTCTTAAGAGTGAGAGTGTTGGGACTCCATAAAGTTGGCAACTTTATGGGTCCTTAAGGTTCCTAGATGCTTATTTGTCATGGATCTGAAGTTTGGAGGGGTGTTTGAGTCCATGCATGAGAAATTACTTCCTTTTCTTCATAAATGACCTAGTTTGAGCTCAAGTCTTGTATTAGACATACTTGTAACAACCCAAATTTTACCACAAAAAAAATTCATTTAATTTAAATAACACATTGCCATAAAACCCTGAATCTCATATTTAGTTAAAAACATCATCCATTACATTATATAGATTATCAGAGTGTGTCCATAAACATATTAATGAAAAAGAGATAGATAGAGTGCACGCCGCGCCATCACGCCTTGCCCTTGCCTTTTGGCTCTGATGTACCTGAAACAATTCAACAGTCTGTAAGCGAAATGCTTAGTGAGTTCCCCAAAGCATACCACACACATATACATACACATATCCAAGTAACATACCACATAGGCCATTCATACATAGAACCAACAAGAATGACATGGGCTACCCCACATGGACTTTACCTAGGACTGCCATTGGCTACCCCACATGGTCTTACATCCAATGTCATGGGCTACCCCACATGGTCTTTACCTAGGACTGCTATGTGCTACCCCACATGGTCTTACATCTAATGCCACGAGCTCCCCTCGTGATCTTCATGCAAAACATACGATCACATTACATATCAAACACAAAGCGATTGCACATATATCATAAACACATAATGGGCCAGCCTTGGTGCCGTAGACCCATGGGTATGGTGAGAAGACTGACCTTCGCCCGAAGAATACGAATACTGCACTCTTAATGACCCGCAACCTCCCGAACTAGATAATAACAATAATAATATCATCAATGATTGGTCCATAAATTATCCCAAGGGAGGGCCCAACCTTTAAACCCTACCCCCAAAGGCCCAATCACCCTTGCATTGCAAATGGGCCCAAGATCTAAGTCCAATATCCTTAATGGCCCCCTTGGCCCAAACGGCCCACCCAATATGTCCATGATCCAACTGATAAAAGGCCTTTACTCTCAAAATCCAATCAGGCCCAAAAACCCAAAAGAGGCCGGATAATGATGTTGCCGATTTGTTAAGACGAGCATCATTGATTATATGGGATGAAGCACCGATGATTCATAAACATGCATTTGAAGCGTTGGATCGATCTTTGAAGGATATATTGAGTTGTGATCTTCGCAGCAACTCAAAATTGCCATTTGGAGGAAAATCAATTGTTTTTGGAGGCGATTTTAGGCAGATTCTACCTGTTGTTCCAAACGGAAGCAGACAAGACATTGTGAATGCTTCATTAAGTTCCTCCTACATTTGGCCAGATTGCAAAGTCTTAAGATTAACAAAAAACATGAGGTTGAGTGATCAAACAAATGATATTGAGGAAACAAAGGCCTTTGCAAACTGGCTTTTGGATATAGGAGAAGGAAATGTGGGTGGTTTCAATGATGGTGAGGCAATTATTGATATACCAGATGATCCTCTCATTACTGATTCATCTGATCCAATCGGTTCATTAATTGCATTTGTCTATCCTTCTATTATTGAAAATGCCAATCATCCCAAGTTTTTTTCAAGAAAGAGCAATCCTTGCACCAAAAAACGAAGTTGTTCAGGAAATAAATGATCGTCTGTTATCACTATTTCCAGGTGATGAAAAAGAATACTTGAGTTTAGACAGTCTTTTTCATTCAGATTTTGTTCATAATGACATTGATGAAAGCTTGTATTCGCCGGATGTTCTAAATGGTCTTAAACCCTCAGGTTTGCCGATCCATAAGTTGGTATTAAAAGTCGGTGTTCCAGTTATGTTACTGAGGAATATTGATCCGAAAAGTGGTTTGTGTAATGGAACGAGACTACGAGTTATAACATTGGGTAACCATGTTATAGAAGTAGAGATAATTTCCGGAAGTAATATAGGAAACCGTACTTTTATTCCAAGAATGACCTTAACTCCTTCAGAAAAAAGAATTCCTTTCGCATTTCAAAGAAGACAATTTTCATTGGATGTATGTTTTGCAATGACAATAAACAAGAGTCAAGGACAATCACTATCGAAAGTGGGTTTATTTTTGAGACAACCAGTGTTCACTCATGGACAGTTGTATGTTGCATTGTCGAGAGTTAAAAGCAAAGATGGATTAAAAATATTAGTTTTAAATAGTGATGGCAACCTTAGCAATAAAACGTCTAATGTTGTATTCAAAGAAGTATTTGGAAATTTGTGAGTAATTTTTTAAAATATTTAAATACTTTTTTTTATTTGTATAGATTCAATTATTGAATTAATCATCATTGCCTTTATATTTATTTCTAAAATTCAACTTTTATATTAATATACCATGAAAAAATAAATATGAATGTGTAATCATTAATCATTTAGTTATAATTTTTTTAGTAATTGTACATTTAAAAAAAATAAGAAAATAATATTCAAGTAGAATACTAATTATTGTATAATTGTCAAAATGATTATTTGCCGTTAACATGGTCAAAATAACAACTTTTAACAATTAAAATTGATTTATGTTTTAAGAGATTCATATTAGTGTATTATAAAATTTTGAAGTATGCCAATTTTAAAATAATGAAAATAAATTATTAATATACATTTAAAATCTAAGTAATTTGGATATAAAGGTCAAAATGGTCATTTAGATCAAATATAGAAATAAAATCATCGTATTACTATTTATTTTCAATTTAGTTATGTCAAATTAATAAATTTAGACAATTTGTATTTTATAAAACAACTAGGTGTAAGACTCGTGTACTACACGGGTTCATTTAAAAAAATTAATTATCAAAGTGTAAACTATAAGGCTTTTCTTAAATTAATTAAATAAATAGAAACATAATTTTACTGGTACAATAAAATAAGGTTTGTCGAATAATGGTTCCAAAATATTTTTGTTATCCATTATAGACTATGGCAAAAAATAAGGGATAAAAACAAATTTATTACAATGCAGCCAATATATGAAAATGACCTGGCAATGCCAACCTCTTTAGATGGTAATGCCAATCTCTTTAACTCCATCAATATCAACACCAATTTTGGGTTACTTTCGTAAAAAAACGGATATTAGTTTTGAATAAACATAAAAATTGCAATTAGAAGTCAAAATAATGCCAATCAATGGCATTTTTAATACAAAAAAAAAAAAAAAAAAAAAAAAAAAAAAAAAGAACTGACGAACACTACATTTCCAAATTCATTTTCTTAAAAAGACTCTATTTTTCATTTTCCCCACCAAAACAAGTTTCTCACGCTCACATTACTGTATCGTATATCTCGTCACCATCATTCGATACAAAATTTTCTTATTTTAACGACAACGAGCATACAATCGGATATCAAGTTTAAATCCCCTAAAAATCAGCAAAAATTTGACAGGGAATTGATGTTTTCCTGAAATTATATGCTAAGATAAAGGATTTGATTTTTAGATTGACAGCGTAATATCTCAATATTTTAGGAAACATAATGGATTCTATAATCAAAACTGTATATAAGTACGTTTGCTATCATCTATCATATTCTCGCAATTTCCCATCTGTAGAAGTTGCCATCGTTATTCTTCTTCAACGCAGTCTGCATACAGGTATGTATTTTATTTCCTTCATCTTATACATACCATCATCTGATAATGTTCAAAGAAGAATCTTACATTATTTGTTGATTGAATGCTTCATTCAGATTGTTATTTTTTTTTTATGTTTGCTAAAATTTTCATATATTGCACTCTATGTGTTTGCTAAAATGCCTCAACCAAATTAAAATATTGGAATATGACTTAAGTTTTATTAGCATTGTCTATAATGTAGCTTCTGGATTTCTCGATAATTGGTCAAAATGAAGATTATGTGTTTGATGATATAACAACTGCTTGCTATGTAACTCCCCAGAAGGTTAATGGTCTAGGATAGTTGAAATAACCCACTTGGTGTAATTTGCAAGTTTATGAGAATCTTAATATACAACTTCAATTAAGATTAAAAAATGTCACTTGCATCAAATTATCCCTGCACACATGATCGAGTGATTAAAAAATTAAAAAAAAAAAAAAAAAACTCTTATTTGTTAATAAAATCATAGATGTGACTGTTTTTGTTTCAATTTGGTGTACATTCTGTTTTGGCAAATATTAGAAATTTGTTAAATTTGCCACAATATATTTGATTATATATATTTTTTGTTCATGATAACATAATATTTATACTTTGTTGGAATAAGTAAAAATGTTTCAAAATGTTTATTGTTGGTGTTATTACAGGTATGATTAAGTATTGATAACCCCCAAAGTTACTCGTGGGTATAAGGGTAGTATGGTCTTTTTAATTAAGAATTTGTTTGTTATCTTTTTTAGTTCATGATAACATAATACTTATATTCTGTTTGAATGAGTAAAAATGTTTAATATTGGCAAATATTAGCATTGTCTATAATAACATAATGCTTTCAATTCATTGTACATTATGTTTTGGCAAATATTAGCATTGTCTATAATGTAACTTATGTTGGTTGTGCGTGTTGCAGATTCATGGCTCCTAAAAACATCACACTACTTGGAAAACTTGATTTGTCGCATGAGAAGTTCACTTTGAAAGTTCGAGTCATTCGATTGACTAATTAACGAACTTATGATAAGAAGAAGACTTTTCGTATTGATATGATATTAGTTGATGAAGAGGTATTTATTCAATTTTCAGTTTTTTTGTCTCATTTTTTGTTAAGCATACTACTTCTCAGTGGTATTCTAATAATTATGTTATTATTCTAAATTTTGATTTTTGCATATAGGGTACTAAAATTGAAGCTCAAGTTCCAAGTAGGTGGGTTTTCAGATTTGAAAAGATGCTTGCTGAAAATGAATCTTATTATATCGAGAATCCTCAAGTTGGTGAAAACACTGCGGATAACAAATTTGTGATTAATTCAAACAAATTACATTTCTGTCCAATCACAATGGTTACCAAATCCAATGATTTTGTGGGTCCTCTGTACGGTTTTTCTTTTGAGAATTACTAAACAATCATTGAAAATAATATTCCAGAAAAAACACCAGTCGGTTAGTGCTTAATCTAAATTTAATTATTTAATTTATTATACTTTTCTTTCTTGTATTACCATTCCTAATACTTGTGTTATACTTTGATTTTCTCTAGATGTAATTGGTCACGTGCTTTTATATTTTCCAATGGAGACTTTTATGTCAAAACATGGCAAGGAAACACGTAGATAGAATGTGCAAATCCAAGATTTAGAGTGAGAACCGGTTATTGTACACAAACAATTTTATTTTACCTGTATAACAATCTCATTTCCCCTTACTTCATTTTTTTCAGAGGCCGAAAAGTGAGTGTTACTTTATGGGATGAGTATGCTCTACAATTTGTTGATTATGTGTCAAATAATCCAGAAGAAATGACTGCTATAATAATTATCCAGTTTGGAAAAGTGTCTGATTATCGAGGTATGTTTCTTACTTTAATATTTTTTGTTTGGTTACCATTATTGTCCCTTCACAACTCCCTTTTTTTAAATAAAGCTTAAATTAAACAATTAAGTTATAGACAATATGCATGATATGCAGATTTGTACTCTATAAAAATATATTTTATAGTTTTTTCATTATAACGTATACTATTATACTTTTTCATGACTGATTTGCCCCTGAATCTTTATATTATTTTGCCAGGAGTAAAATTTATAACAGAACATTAAAAGCAAAAAACAACAATATACTTTAACAAGTAATAAATTCCTCCCACTTTAAACAACAAATTGATATTATATTTTATTGGGAACCAATTGTACTGTTTTGACCCTACTCAAATAACTACAACATAAAATTTCATATTTGTTCCATTTTTCACACAGAAACCTAAAATATAACTCTTTTTTGCAGGTCGTTTGTCTGTTTCCTTTTTCATTTGGCTCTTAGAATTTAGGATCGATGCTTTTCTTTATGGGGTCAGGTTGTTTTGTATGTTCAAGGTGTTAAGATTGTTTTCAAAGTTGTCCTAGCTCTTGATATATATTTGTTATATTCCTATTCTTCTTCTACTTATTCTTTTTACATCTAGGTGCTCATGTATGGGTCAGGTTGTTTCTTGGAAGAATGAAAGGCGAGAAGAGCTACTTTTCATGAGCAGTAAGGTGAACCAACTATGTATTTCAAACTTTAACGCCAAAATTTCTTCATTTTTTGCAATATAGTTAAATATTATACTAGCAATGACATTCTCTATGTGTGTAGACACTTTTGAAACCACCCAAATCCATAAGAAGTGTCATACCTATTTGTGTAACACCGTAAAATTTCAAACAAAATTTTCATTTGAAAATCACATTAATTTCATTAGCACAATCACAAAATCCCCAAAAATATCAAGTTATCAAAACACATGTTCGATATAATAAAATCCAGGATCCTCATAATAAAACTCCGCCTCGTGTGTACAATCAAGCCGGCGCCTTCCCGTGATCCTAAGAAGTACTTGAATCACATAACACATAACAAGGTAAGCACGAAGCTTAGTGAATTTCCCAAAATACCATACACATCTCATTAGCCTCTCATGACTATGCTCGAATAAGACCATCCGGTCAATGTGTCTCAGTGGAACCCTACGGTCCCACCGCCCCAACTTAGAATCGTAGGTGGGATACCTCGTCTCATGAGGCTTCAACTGCCTCGACGCCTATGCTATCACGTACCCCCTCTGCATCAACACCGCACCCATCCCAGATATAGAAGCATCACAATAAACTACAAAGTCCTCCAGTTCGTCACTGGGGCTTTGCACAATCTCTTGCGAAGAGTCTCGAATGAGGCCTGCTGCTCGGTCCCCGAAGCAAAAGTAACACCCTTCCGGGTCAACTTGGTGAGAGGAACGACAATCTTAGAGAAATCTCTAATAAACCTCCGATAGTAGCGGGCCAAACCTAGAAAACTCCTGATCTCGGATGGGGATCTCGGTACCTCACATCTCATAACCGCCTCAATCTTGCCCGGGTCGACCAATATTCCATTCTGATTAAACTGGACCTCTTGTAACCAAAAATCACACTTGGAGAATTTGGCATAAAGCCTCTCTGTCCTAAATACTCCAAGAATCTCTCTAAGATGCTCCTCATGTTGCTCTTTAGAACTTGAATACACCAGAATATCGTCAATGAACACGATCACCGATCGATCCAACATAGGCCTACACACCCGATTCATGAGGTCCATGAACGTTGTTGATGCATTGGTAAGTCCGAAAGGCATCACCACAAACTCGTAGTACCCACTACGGGTCCTAAAGTCCGTCTTCTGGATATCCTCCTCGAAACTCTCATATAATGAAATTGAATGTGTCTAGGTTCCGTAGGCGAATACTCTGCAATGTTTCGTCCTTTATCTTCAATCACCATGTTATGCATAATGATACATGCATACATAATATCTCGTGGTGTGTCCAACTCATATGCTCATGTCGCATGTTCAACTATGTGTCATTTTGCTTTCAGAACTACGAAAGCACATTCCACGTTCTTACATGCTCCTTCTTGTCTTTTCTTGAAAATTTTATCTCTTGGTTCTATCGGGTGCCGAAACGCCTTCACAAACGTGGAATATGATGGGTATATTCCATCTGAGGTAATACCCAAACTTATACTCATGGCCATTTATTGTGAAAGGAGCATCCGGTGCCTTTCCTGTCAAAAGGTCCTGAAATATTGATGACTGATCAAGAACGTTTATGTCGTTGTTAAAACTCGCAACTCCAAAAAAAGCATGTCAAATCCATAAGTCTTGTGACACAACAACCTCTAATACTAACGAAGGCAATCCAAGATGACCACTAGTGTATAGACCTTTCCACGCCACAGGATAATTTCTCCATATCCACTTTGTGCAATCAATGCTTCCAAGCATTCCCGGAAAACCATGTCGTTCTCCATACGCTGCATATAGTTATTGCATGTCATTCAATGAAGGTTTGAAACAAATGTAATTACGGTACATGCTTTCCATTGCATTGACTATCCGTTGAAACACATTTATCCGTAAACGAAACAATATTTTAAAATCGTTTGGTTGGTAGAGACAATTTCCCGCAAAATAACTGTATAGTAGACGTCTATGTCCTTCTTCACAATCTCTATTCAACATCGCACGTCTGGCCAGCAGTGGAGCTGGCTCTGGCGGCATCGTGTCGGTAATACATTGATAGATGAAACGGATTGATACTCACGAACATATCATCCTCGTCGATATCATGATTGTATGGATGAAACGGATCAAAAGGTTCCATTTTTTAATTAAATAGTGTAATAGAAAAAAAAATGAAATTGAAAGGAATAATAATTGTTGAAATGATTTGTTGGGTTTGGAAGATAAAATGTTGTGTATTTATATTAATAGATCTTTTTTATGTTGGTGACCGTTTGCAAACAGTCAAATTTGTAAACGTTCCAAACAAATTAGCCAATGACATTAGTCGTTTCCTCCCATCACCACCATAACATACGTTAACATAACACCTAATAATGTAAGGGGCGTGGTATTTCGGGCGTTATAACTCTGTTATTATGCCTCCACGTCGGATTAGCGTGTATTCGTATTGCCCATACCTACCCGTCTAATTAATGCTACATGATTACATAGGTTGATTTACTTAGAGTAAAAAACACGGGGCATTCTAAATACATCGTGTTAAAATTATGGTCAAGTTAAAACCATTAAAAAAAGTTAAAAGTATAAAAATATTATATTAATTATGTAAGGGTGAAATATAAATGACAAATTATAATTGCATAACTTTTAAAATCATTTTTACTTTTCTGTTAAAAGTAATTTTTATGTCAGAGTACAAGTTCATAAAGCTTAAGATAGTGTAATGCACCTTAGTTTTGTATATTAATCTTTGATTATTTTTTAAGCGATAGGGGGTCATATTGGCGTCACCTAGTTAATTAATTTCTACGTAAATAATTAGTAAAATTACGATATTGTTTATATCGACGATGCCTAGTTATTTTTCTTTTATTGTAGTTAATGTCAATCAAAAAAAAAAAAAAAAAAAAAAAAACATAATTATAACTGTTTAAGACCAAACACAACTACGCTAAATAAAAGACAAAACTTCAAAAATGGTTTTTGTGGTTTTCGAAAATATCAAGTTTAATCCCTAAGTTCAAAAAATCTCACAGATGGTCCATGTGGTTTTAAAATTTTTAACATTTGGTCCTTCCGGCTCACTCCGTTAGCATTTCATCGTTAAGTAAGGGGCATTTTTGTCATTTCATTACCCAGGGACCATTTATGAGATTTTCTATTATTTTTTTAAAAAATAATAATAATAAATGAATAAAATTTAATATGCAAACTCTCTCTCTCTCTCTCTCTCTCTCTCTCTCTCTCTCTCTCTCTCTCTCTCTCTCTCTCTCTCTCTCTCTCTACTGTCAAAGTCCTCCACCAGAGGAGCTATTTTTGGTAAAAGCAAAAGGGGCAGCAGCCCTGTTTTCTTTCTTCTTTTCCTGTCATTCGAAGAAATCGCACCAGGGAGATCTAATCCCATCTTCGTGTTTTTTGCTCGATTCCGCTAATCCCATCTTAGGAACCTCTTGATCTTTCCTCAAACTGTTCTCAGTATTTGTTTGTATTGCTGGAGTGGGTTTTTCATCGGTAGTTTTCTGACCCACATTTGGTACATCAATAGGCTTTTGAGGCATCGGCACCGATGCCGCTTCAACTGCCGACGGGGTTTCTACTACTGGTTTTGCTTCTGGAGTGATCAATTTGGGTTGCCGAAGAGAATGTTTCCCTCGAACTTTGCACTGATTTTGTTGAGATAACGGTTTGCAGAAACTGGAAACTCTACACGAAATCGGCTCCATGTGTCTTGCTGGAGCTTTCTTTCATCGCTAATGATCAAATACCTTGATCGGAGTTAAACCCTCGATCGTTCCTTAGCAAAACCTGCAAATATTTCCAAGAACTTGAAACAAAACATCAAAAAAAAACAAAGGAAATATAAAGAAAATGCACCAGGGAGATATACAAGAAGAGTATCGGAATCATCGTCGGAGGTCCCGTCAATTTCTTCCGTTCATGTCTTTTCCATTCCCGTCAAATGGGAGGGGGTTGTTGCCCTCTTGACTGTCGGAAAACCCCACCTCTGATGGAGATTTTCTCGATTAAAATTGAAGAAGAAGAAGAAGAATGGAGGCAACAACAGCAAGATCGGTGGTTGTTTAGCTAGCTTGTCATCGAGAAAAGAAGAAAGAAACATGGCTGGAACATAGGGTAGGAGCCTTCGTTTTCTGCTTGAGAGAGAGAGAGAGAGGGAGAGAGAGAGAGAGAGGCCCTTTAATTAAATAATTATATATTTTTTTTCTTTTTTTTTGAAATAAAGAAAACCTCATAAATGGTCACTGGGTATTGAAATGACGAAAATGTCCCTCACTTAACGGTAGAAAGCTAACGGAGTTAGGCGGAATGACTAAACATTAAAAATTTTTAAACCACAGGGACCATCTGTGAGGTTTTTTGAACTTAGGGATTAAACTTGATATTTTCGAAAACCACAAAGACCATTTTTGAAGTTTTGTCTAAATAAAAATTTGCATTTTTATTTCCTACCATTTTGTCAAACATTATCATATTTTAATTTTATTAAAAATTAGTTAACATTAACAATAAAATATTTTTAGAATCATATTCAAGATATTTAATTATTTCTGAATCCTCCGAATCCTTAAACATATCCCAGTATCCTGACTATTATCACTAATATTTCTAACACTTGTAATGGTTATATATATATATATATATATATATATATATATATATATATATATATTAGGTGTGAAATCTATGTATTACACGGGTTGATTAAAAAAGTTAAATATAAGGTGTAGACATTAAGTATTTTCTAAAGTCAAATTTTGAAATAAATATAAATGAAATGATAAATAAGTAATTCATTGTATACTAATAAAAAAATATTATCATGTTTAAAAAACCATGTTGAATATGAATGTGTAAAAATTAAGTATTTTTTAAAGTAAACTTTCGAAATAAATACAATAAATAGAATAAACCACAAGGACCATTTATGTAATTTGTCTTAATTAATTTATACTAATAAAACTAATTAATATAAATTCACAAATGGAACTCATTAAATAGAAATAAGAATTCATAAATGGAATGTTTACTATATACATTAATTTACATTAATTACTAGAATTACTATGAGGTGACATTTAATAGGTGGAAGTTGAATAAAAATGAAAAAAATACAAAAATGACAAGTGGAAAAAAAAATAATTTTAAAATTCTAAGAAAATGGCATGTGTCAAATTCAATAAGAAGTTGACATTTGGTAAAATTATCTTTATTTATTACGGTGTATATATATATATATATATATATATATATATATATATATATATATATATATATATATATATATATATATATATTATTAGGGTAGAACAAATCAATACTAAGACCCATTCTCAAAAGTTGTAAGATCATAGATATAGACTAGCTCATTTAAACCAATGGTAAGATCCTTAGAGCAGTTCAAATGATCGATCCAATAGAGGATCCTCCAAACCATTGGCATGGCTTGAATGTACGAGATTTTAGTGATCTTAAAAAATTCAGAAATGATATCGGAGAAAGTGTAAGAAAGTCCTAGGTGAAAGGATATTCGGGGAAAACAAACCCAAGAGGGATAGACAAAGTCAGGTTGGATCCAAGCATCTAAAGCCCTAAGGAGTTGATGTCCTATTTATATAGGAATCACAGAAAGGTAAAATGATGATTTGACACATTCCAACGGATAGAAATCTATCCGTTGATATTCAAATTATCTCATCCGTTAGAAATTTTTATTTTATTTTTTGCTTAAAAATTATGTCTCTAAATATCTAAAAACACTAACAACAACTTAAAGGACCATAAATATAAATATATTTATATTATTTTTAATTTGATTGTAATGAGATTTATTTACACCACAATGAAATAAAGATAGATTGTTATTATAAATGTTAGATAACTTAAAAGGTCATAAATGTAAGCATAATTATATTATTTTGATTTGATTATAGTTAGATTTATTTACCAAAGAATCATGAGTTATAATGTTTGTTCTATTAAGTTGTGAACACTACCAAAAAATATCATTGAATTTGTTGTTAGTTCGACGTCAATCCGACGACAAGTGATAACTGTTTGTAAACTAGGAAATAAAATATTTTATTTCATATAATATTATTGTTTCGTTTATCCAAAATATTTTATTGAAAAAAATATATTTATAATTTTTTCTTCTTTGAACCACTATATATATATATATATATATATATATATATATATATATATATATATATATATATATATATATATATATATATATATATATATATATCATAGAACAAAAAATAAAAAATATAAAAATGGCTTTAAGATGTAGAATTATATATAACACTGATTGTACTAAAAAAAATGAAAATCACAAATATTAGGCAAAATAAAGTTTTAAATGTTGTTTAATTTAATAAGTTACTAGATTATGACCCGCGTTTAACGCGGGGAACACATAAATAAAATATAAATTTATATAGATATTACAGAATAATTATAAAAAAACAAGGTTATTGGTATTATTAAAATATGTAGAAATTGCATTAAAATAGGTAAATATATATAGCGATGAACGACCTCTTTATAGATAATATTTTTTGTTTTATTAGTTCAATGACCATGCTTGTCACATATAAGTACCTTCAAACATTTTTTACTTGTGACACGGAAAACAACTATATACAGCTAACCATGCGTGAAAATGGGTCTACACAAGTATAATCCAACATTTGACAATGTACTTTCAAAATATATTGTTATTTTATAGTTACATAGTGAAATATAACTGTTTATTTCAAAAAAAAAATAGCAACTTATTTATGTTCCTTCAAAATGAACCACATAACCCCCCCCCCCACCCACCCACCCCACAAAGTAACTATAACCAATAAATCTGCAACGAAGCTAATCATCCCTTCCATTTCATCTCTAATATCAGGGCTTTTTTTCCTTAATCTGAGTTGTTGTCACTATCATCTACAATGTTAAGATTCATTGATGGCTTCTTTTTTATTTTAGGAATAACTATGACAGAAATCATTTATCAGGTCCATCATTTATAACATTTTTTGTAAAATTCGTTCTACGGTTTTTAGTATGTGCATGTACGTTGATTTTTTTGAAGTAAAGAAAGTAGGGTTTTTGTTCGATGTTGGTTCCTAGGTTTGGTTCTTATTTTTTGTGATTTCTCATAATCCATTGCGTTTTATTTTCCATCTTTATCTACAATCTTTATGTATAGAACACTTTATCCATATAATCATTCACTATAGAGTTTAATAAAGGACAAAAGAAACACTCCCTTAGTTTTATTTACTTTGCAGATTATCGAACCTCCATGTAAAGCTTACAACATAATGAAAAAACAAAAAACCCTTATGAGGTAAATGTCAATTACGATTCTACCCCTTTTCCTCTTGTAACAATTATCTCACTTCAATACTTTAAAACATCTGTTTTTGTGTTTCAACATATTATTGATAGCATGAAAGATCCAAGCATTATTGCATTTTGGTTAATCACAATGCCTCAAATTATGGGAGGATTTAAATCTGATGATGAGGTCAAACTATGATGGTAATACAAGGTTCTTCTTCTTCTTATTTATTTATTTACTTATTATTATTATTTTTTTTTTTACTTAAGTTTAGAGTAAATTACATTTTTGGTCTTTGAGTATACCTGATTTTTTTTTTTTCCAGAAGGTTCTGAGGGGTGCTTTTGGTATTTCAGGGTCAAATGCTGACTCTAGTTGAGTACACACTTCTATTATACCGTGTATTCTTACCTGCCCATGTATGGTACCAATTCTTTTTGAACAAAGAATACTAGAGCCTATTTTCATCATTCACAACATGCATATATTTAACTTTAAAGCTCACATCAATTGTTAAGAATGTATATTTCTTATCTTAATTTGTTACTACCGGAGACATAAGAAAACTTTCTAATGAGGGCGTTCATGTCTTTTGTACAACCCGTCTGTTATATTATATCATGTCATCTCTTGTTTTGTCTATTGATTTTTTTATAAAGGTATACACACATTTAACATCATAATTTCATTATATATAACATCTAATTTTAAAATTGAGTTTACTGTTTTCGAAAATAGGATCATAGTTACCGATTAAAAAGATGAACCAAGAACCAAACACAACATCAAAAAAAATTCAAAAACAACATTATACATCCAAATTATAAGTATTCAACAAAGAACATACGTATGAGTAAAAACATATAAATTTGAAAATATATATATATATATATATATATATATATATATATATATATATATATATATATATATATATATCAAACTTACAGATTAAAAATATTTAAGGAAGAAGTACATACATTTATTCGACTAATCAGACTGATGGGAAAGTTAAAGTTTTTTTGAATTTGTTTTCTGCGGAGGAATTATGATATAATATTTGTGTAAATCGATTAGTAAAAAGGTTTGAAATATATATATATATATATATATATATATATATATATATATATATATATATATATATATACAAGTCAATATGATGAAAATTAGCAGGTAATCAATTGAAATCTCATTTAAACTTAAAATAGAAGATATCATGCTTCAAAGTGTATTGGTTCATAATAATATCAGAAACTTCTGAAATTTGAAATTAATAGTTTCCGAGATTTCAACACATAATATATTTGGAAAACAATTTTGAATGGAAATAAAGCCTAAATTTAAGGTTTACATTAATAAGGAATCAATTTTGTAATCGTAAGTTTAGAAAGAATTCAAATATGATTTTTAATTCAATTCGTACATTTAATTTCCTAATATAACGGGTTGACTTCTTGTTTGATCAAGGTGACATAAGCAAATTGATCTAAGGGTGTAAAACCTATAAAGAAAACACAATCAACGGTTCGGATTGTTTTAGATGATGTCATAAGATTTCTCTTTTACTAATATTTAAAGATTAAATAGACAATAATAATTAATGATACCATATTAATATGGGTTTGAAAAGTCAAAGTGGGCTTGACTTTATGAATATATATGGGTTTGAAAAGTCAAAGTTTTCACTTTATGAATATGGTTTTGACCTTCAACTTCACGTGTGAATAACATTATAACAACACCCAAGTATGTCTAGTAATAAAATAATATGGGTGTTACTATTAAGACACCCCTTAGTCACTCTATGAACATTTTTATTAAAAGTAAACCTTTAATAAACTGTTTATAATTTACTTTTCCGAAAAACAATACAAATTCAACCAATAAAACAATCTTAAAAATCAAATAGGATGTCTATATGGAAAAATGAGATATCATTTTAGCCAACCGAAAAAATATAAATGTAAACGAGTATGATTGTGACCTAAGTATCAAGATGCCACTCATCATGTTTTATAAAATTGGTGAATGTAAATGTGACTAAACAGCAAAAACACCAATCTACACAAATTAAATAGGTATGCAGCAAAACAAATATTTTCGTGTATGCGACATAAATTACACAATATTCACAAATCATAAATTACTGCAATTCGTTAACCACACTCACACCTCCACCTCCAACAACCAATGACATATTCGACCCACTGCCCTTTTTTTTTTTTTTTTTTTTTGAAGAAGAAGAAGAATTAAGACAGATGACACAGGTTGGAATAAAAAATCCTTATTTTAGATATATCTATTCACATTTTAAAGGGAATTGAGAGTTTAAAAAAGAGGGAATTAATGATATTGATATTGTTATCTAGACTTGAGTTGGGTTTTGAGGAAACGCACATACTCATGTTGCACCATCTCCCCACCATTCACAGGATCGAATATGCACCTGTAGAAACTGTAAATCATTTCACAAATCATCCATCAGATATATTTTTCAAAGTAAAATAATGTAATACAAAAAAAAAAAAAAAAATGAAACCAATTGTTATTTCTTCCATTTTTAAATAAAGGCAAACAATAATACCTTCCATCCATGCCTACAATAATGACCGTGTTCTGTGATCCAAATGCTGACATGTAATGCGTGCATTCTGGCAAATGAAACCGAGCAAATGACCATTCGGAGCTGAAATACTTCGGCAACACCCCTAAAAAATTGCAACGCATTAAAAAAAAACATATTCATTGCCAAAATGACGTAAACGCCCTTTTGTCATTTAAAAGTTAAAAATCACATATGTATACCTTTCATGAAAGATAGAGAAGAACCAGGATTGGCACCAGCAGAAGTTGGTGAGATAAGGGCATCAAGGGAAGATGAAGAATATTGATGTGATAATGCTGCTGCTGATGTCACAGATTGAGCAGATGATGGATCTTCACCAACAACACGCACTCTAAGACTAAATATATGCACAGTACCCTTGTCACTAGACACAGCCAACCACTGGACATTTGGAGAAAGGGCAATTCCGTAAATATCAGCTCTATCCACTCCTCTACGAACCTCTTGTAACCGAGTACCATCCATCGCATTAAAAATTCTGACCAAAGTACCCTTTGTGCTGGCAGTAGCAAGCAGAAGGCCATCCATTGTCATGGTTAAGCATGCGATTCTTGAATCATGAGCATTGATCAACTTTGTCATGTTTAATCCAAAATGTTCAACCCTAACCTGTCCTCTTCTTAAACCTGGGCAAGCTAATACAGATGTGTTGACCTGATGGGATAGGCAACAAAGTCCTCTAGGGTTTGCTAGGGTTTCTATCTGATGAAGAAGCTTCAGATCCATAAAGTTATAAACATAGATCTTGTGTTCAAGAACAACAACAATCCGATCGCGTCTTAGTTTTACAGCTCTAACTTCTGATCTAAATGAAAACTCACCGATGCATCGACTCTGATGATCATCCCATATGATGACTTTATTTGGAGGGTATTGTGTGTTGCCTTTTCCACCAACAAGTGCTAGAATGTTGCTTCTGAAAAGCATCTCAATGATCCCAAATCCTCCGCTTTTCAGATCACGTCTGAAGGTTTCTTTGAAAGGATCACAGTTGTAGATACGGAAACCATGGTTTGTTCCTGCAGCAAAACAACCATAATCTTGGTTCCAAGAAACGGATAGTAAATCTATTTCACTTTCATCAATCTCTGGATTTGAATGCCCAGAGGGACTGTTATAGGGAGCATCCATCAGAGGCTCAACTGGTAAGAACTCAGATTCTGGAAATCCTTCTTGCAATGTTGAAACAGCTAAACTCATAGGGGAAGAAGCAATAGTCATGAAAGCAACCTAATCCAAACATATATAGATAATGTCATTAACATAGTTCATTTCATAATGATCAATTGATAATGATACAACATTTTTTTTAATGCATTCACCTACGTCCATCTTTAAAGAAGTATTCAATCAAACGCTAATTTTGCCATACAAGGCATTACTGTTAAAGTATAATCCTTCATGAATTCCTATCGGTCATCATGTCAATGATTTGGTGAAATTTTTAAAGAGTACACACAGCTCCATGTAAGGCAAACTAAAGGAAATCGTTACAACAACAATTCCTTAATTCTTCTCTAACGAATTGAAAATCATATCGAGTCTTTCAGAGAGAATAATTTCGTTAGTACTATATATCAAATTGATAATCATATAATGATATCAAGACTTCAGCATAAAACTATTTCATGTAGCTAAAATAGTAAGCAAACAAAATGGAGCCAATCATACAAGGAAAACTAAAGGAAATCGAAAACTTACAAAGTCATTGGAGATTCACTCGATCGCGCAATCTTGTAAATCAATATGCTTTCGCCACAACTACCGATCAATATCCGTTTTCCTGTAATTATACATTGCGTAACGTGAAACTCAAGCAAAGCGTTCGAATCTGGATATTACCCACAAAATTAAAAAACCCTAGAAAAAAGAATAAGGCATGATCGTAATCGACTGACCTTAAGAAGTTAATCAAGTTCAAATCACAACCAAATACTTTCACGGCGGTGAAAATTGAGCGCGATTGTGTGTTTAATTGCTTAAAGAAAGGAAAACCAAGTGTTATTTGGTGTGCGAGTAAAGAGAGAGATCAGATCAGAGAGATGGAAGAAAGAGTAATGGAGCATAGCGTAGAGTTTTGTTGCTCTTCTCTGTGATGCGAGAAATTCGTGATTGGAGAAGGGAAGACGACTATGAATTATGAAAATCAAACACATGCGTCTGGTCGGTACCTATTTTAGAGGTCAGAGAACGGAGCAAATGCCTGGCATCGTGATTCGTGATCATGTTTGTTTTTATTTAATTGTAAAAAAATAGAACATGGACAAAAACACAATCTCATAACAGAAAATAGAGGATAAATTGTTGGATCCGGAAAGTATAACAATGGGAAAATGACTTAGAAGTATTAGACTTGTATAAAATATATCATTTAACATTAGCTATAGTTTTTGTACACATATGATCATTAAACTTCATATTTGTTCAAAAAATACCATTATGTTACCGATAATAATAGGTCACCAGCTACGTAACATGGCACGTGGCATATCATGTGGTTGCTGACGTGAATTTTATTGTATATTATATACACATTATACCATTAAACTATTTTTTGTGTATATTTTACCATTAAACTTTTTGTACACATTTTACCATTAATCTTATATAATTTATTCAAAAAATATCATTTCAAAAAATACATATTTTTACATAAAATGGGTTTTCCGTCACCTATTGTGACTCCCTGATTTTGTAAGGTTTAGGAGAAAATGTTTGTTTTTTACAATGATACTAAGGATTTTCTTTTACAACTATATTGTGAATTTATGTTGGTCATACATCAATTGAAACCCACAATGTTTGAACTTGAGACTTCTATCTGGAGCGGAGAAGAAATACTCAATTGTTCATTATTTTAGCTAATGTCTAATAAACATATTCTTATAAGTCATTTTTTTAGGAAACTACGTTTGAGACACACTTATAAACTCATGAAACATTTTGTACATGTTACCTTATTATAATCCCCTCTCTTCTTGATTATGGTTGATGATTAAAAAGTGCATTGAAATTATGTCGTTGTTTACCGATAGGAAAATGACTTATAATGATAAGTTTACTAAAATTTAGATAATCAGTAAAATCCACATCAGGTGATGGGAAACCTACTTTTATGTAATAATTTGTATTTTTTGAAATGATATTTTTTTTCAATAAATTATATAACATTAATGATAAAATGTGTACAAAAAAAAAATTAATGGTAAAATGTGTACAAAAAAAAAAGTTTAATGGTAAAATATGTACAAAAAAAGTTTAATGGTATAATGTGTACAAAAAATAGTTTAATGGTATAATGTGTACATAATAAACAGTAAAATCCACATCAGTAGCCACATGACATGCCACGTGGCATGCTACGTGGCTGATGACTTATTATTACCGGTAATATAATGGTATGTTTTGAACAAATGTGAAGTTTAATGGTCATATATGTACAAAAGTTATAGTTGATTGGTGATGTGTGTACAAAAAAAAGTTCAATGGTATTTTTTGTACAAGTTTAATACTTTGTTACCCTTACATGTCATTTCCCTTGGGATAGGATACTCACGGATGGAATACCCTCGGCCCACAACCATCGGGTTGGAATGCCCACATACTACGAGTCCAATCATCCTTGGGATGGGATACTCACGGACCACAACCATCGGGTTGGAATGCACAGGTCTATTGGCTCATGCACAAAGCAAATAAGCCTCAACCACTAATCAAACATGTGCCCATATATCAGATAATAACATAACAGTCTATAGAGAGACAAACCGATCTAACATATCATAACAACATAATAACATCCTATCTACCAGGATACCGATCTAACAAATCATAATAACATACTCAAATACCAAGATACATATCTAATAGATCACTACAGCATAACAACATACTAAACATCAACAATCCAATGAATGCATAATTGTATATATTCAAAGGTGAGATAGTCACCCGGACAGGTACTCATACTCTAAAACCACAACCAAACAAGGAACAGGTAAAAGAGCCTAGATCAAGAGTCCTCAGTCTATCCTACATGACTATATACAGTCCCTAGGGCATCCTTTTACTAGCAGATAATCAATACTAATGGGTCGACATTGGTGCCTTCGACCCACTGTATAGTGAGGCAAAACTCACCTTATACTGCTGAAGTCCCGCAGATAAAACTTCCGCTGCTGGTTGACAGATTCTCGAGTTGTCAACATCAAAACAACACCCAATTAGTAATTGGGTTCCAAGCCCAATGTCCAACTCACACTCCAGAGGCCCAATAGTCAACTAATGGACCAAAGCCCAACATATGGCCCAATTTTTCAATTTGGTCCCAGACCTCTACATGGTCTTACCCTAAGGCCCAACCACTTAGTTCAGTCCAAACATTTGGCATTTCAATTGGTCCAACCTCTCATAATCCTCAAGGCCCAGTTATGGCCCATCTATGGCCCAATTTTCCAAATTGGGCCTATACCCTTACATAGGCCTTACCCTAAAGCCCATCCAAATATTTTAGTCCATTTACTTATTCTTGGATAGCTCAATAGTAGCCCAATCACCAAAGCCCAATAGAAAGGCCCAACTCAAGGCCCAATTGAAATTAGAGTTTTCACATGAAATGACGATTAGGGTTAAGTGTTCCTACTTAACCCATTAAGGACTTAATCCATTAAGTCCAATATTGCCTTAGATTAATTTGCAATGATTATTAATTAATATTTTAAGTTTATTAAATAATTCCAGTGTGGGTCCTGATCAATCCCCAAAACTAGAGTTTCATGACATTAGGGTTTCCTAAACCCTAATTAGGGTTTCCAACCCAATACTAGCCCATTAGTCACATGGTTGGGCTTTTAGGCCAAATAGGGCTTCATTGGGCCGATTAGGGTTAAACAAGTCAGGCACCACCCACTACCACCTCGGGTAGTGATGGTCGGTGACAGCTCACAGCGGCGGCCACCACCTCGCGGTGGTGGTTATAATTTTTGTCTAAAAATTTCCAGGCATCCCAAAATAACAATCACACACATAAAGCACATAACCACCCAAAGTGGTCGATGGTGGTGGCAGAATGGTGCATGAGGTGGCAACCACCACCTCATAGCGGTGACGAGTTGATTTCTTTGATTATCCTGCCATACAATGCATTACATTTTACATCAAGTACCCAAACTAACACACACATAAAATAACACACACACACACACACACATACAGTCATCCTGTTGCGGCAGACGGTGGTCGGAGGTGCTAGCCACCACCTCACGACGGTGGTGGTGACCTTTTTATGATACCGGCCAAGTAACCACACCCACACATGTTGTCTTGTTCATAAATGAGTCTAGCCACCCACCTGGTGGCGTACAACGACAGTGATGGCATAAAATGGCGGTAGTAAGGGCGGTCGATCGGCAACAACATCGTCATCGGCGAAACACTGCATGGCAGTGACGATAACATTGAGATCCAACAACAGCTGGTTTGACCGTTCCTTCCCACGACCATAGAGACCTCCACTGTCGTTCGCCTTCGATCTCCAAAGCTGAACATCAACTACGAGTCGGGAAGGAACTAGGGTGGTCGGCCTAGGCTACAACGAACAACAATAACAAATCCACCGGCGTTAGTGGCGGCTTCGCCTTCGACGATCGGGCACAGCGGCGGCAGCAACATACGCCATTTGGTTTCCTGGCGGAGGATGAGCACGAGGTGACTGGCTCTGGTGGTTTGGGACCTCGACTGAGGTGGTGGCGGCTGGAGAATGGAGGAAGGCGGTGGCAGCTGCAATGCTACGAGGGTTAGGGTTACAGAGGTATTGGTAGTTTATACATCCCAATCCATACAAAATTTGGTCCATAATGACACTATTAGTCCGTCATTCTCCCTTTTCTTTCAATTTAAATCCAAAAGTTACCAAATGGCCCCTCATCTACAAAACCTTCTCAAATTAGGTCCAGAATTTACCTTTCATCCCATGCTTCCACAAATCCTTACATATTAAGTCCAAAAGATACCAAACACCCCCTGACTACTAACAATCTTTACAAAATAAGTCCCGAAATTACACTTTAACCCCGAAGATTCAAATCTTGTCATTTGGCTCCCCAAAACCAACACCCAACTAATTATTATTTGATTTTAAGCTATAATAATATAAAATAATAATAATAATAATAATTACTTCTCAGGGGTTCCGGGTGTATTATTTAATCGTTCTATTTTAAACGAGATGTTACAGTCTTAGTGGCTTATATGGAAGACCATGATTTGGCCCATGGAACTTGTATGAAAGACCATGTTTTGTCCCATGACACTTCTATGAAATACTATGTTTTGACGCATAGCAGGAAACACCATGTTTAGCCCATGACAAGAAGTAATTGTAAGACTATGATCTGGCTCATAGCATTCACAAGAGTTGAAACAGACCCGTTACAGTTATGTATTGTTGTAGTATGATATGTGGTATATTTGGGAACTTCCTAAACTATGTACTTATGGTTTTAAGTTTAAATTATTTTAGGTTTTTTGGTAACGAATGAATGGCACGACTTGATTGTATCGCATCCATTGGAGATTTTGCATTTAATAATTTCTTATGTTTACATTCTGATTATTCTTTTGAAACAAATGGTTTTATTTTGATCTTTCAAGTTGGGATTGGAACAAATGCTTTTAATAATAAATGAAAAAAATGTTGTGAAATTTGGGACGTTACACCTTCAAATTCCCAAGATCATTTGAAGTACCTAAAATATTTAATCACAACTGTAAGCCAAAGCTTAGCCAATTCTCCAAAATACCACATACAACAATACACACACAAGCATACAATTAAGGCTCTCGACACCAAGATGTTGGAAATAGGTGCCCAATGTTATAACTAATTGGTGTAACTTTGGGAATGATAGCGAAGTCCTGTTTGGGTTGCCCCCAAGAGCAAGAATAGTTAGAAATAGTTTTAGGAGATTGAGAAAATAGCTTATTATTATATTATAAGATTAATAAATTAATTAGAAACTAACTAAAATTAATTAGAATTAATTTGGAATTAATTTGGGTTTAGTTTAGAGTGCATAGACTGAATGTTAATTGTTCAATAGTTGAACAAAAGGTACATTCGTGAACACCATAGGTGGTAGATGGTTTTGGAGCTTCCTTTGAGGGTTCCAGAATTGATCTAGGTAACATATAAAGCAGTGATTTGAATCATGACTAAATGTGATTATTTAATTATTGGTATCTTATAAATTGTAATATTAGTTATTTATTACATTTTAAAGTTATGTTTTTGGTCACTTACATATTTTGTTTTATAGCTTTAATTTCTAATAATATTGATTTTTATTATTATCAAACCTTATTGTTGTCTATCTCTTCTATACATAATTGTTTGGATCAAAACTTTATTTTATATTTTTATGGTTGATTAGTTTTTCTATAATAAGCAAAAGAAAATTTATAAGTATGTTGTTATTATGAGAAAAAATAATCATGTTGCATATAATAGTAACGAAAATAAAATACATTGTTATTCCTAATGGTTTATCTTATAAAGATATTAACAATTTTAAGCACTATTGAAGTATTGATATTTTGTATTAGTTGATATAAAAACTAAAACAAAGACATTATAAAAAAATAGCTTCCGAGTTGTCCACTACAACTCACTACTTTTGCAAGGGTCGGGGAAATGGCTCGCCTTTTTGGAGGGTATGCTAAAAAACTAAAATATGTAGCATATTCTCTTTTGATCAATTTCTAATCCAAACCCCAAGAATTACCTGATATGTCTCTAGGTAGTTGGTTAAAATACGAAAACATTATGTTTCATACAATTGTGGTGTAAGAATATGATCTATGTGTATTGTAATATACCTCCTCTCTTATTAGTTCAAAAAATGTTATATTCTTTAAAAAAAAGTGTAAAAATTTCTTTCTAGTAAGAATGTAATTTAAATTCAAGTTTTATACTTCTAATTTGTAATTCATCTAAAGAACAATTATACAATGACATTGGCTTCCAACATCTTTTACTTTGTTCTTGCAATAAATGTTTTTGATCATTGAATAACGCATAAATTAAATACATCCATTTTAAAAGTAAAGAATATGTTTTTACTCTTTAGTTTAAAACCCCCAAAATACTATCATATCTAAGAAGACCAAAACTTTGGCACGTGCATTGGGATGTGGTTCAAATTAAAACTTGAACTTTGTTAACCAGAATTTTTAACCACTTAAACACGTTTAGTTATAGTCTTGATACCACATGTGTAGGCCAAAAACTGCCGAATTATATAACTAACAAATAACAATGACAAGGATTGCATACATTACGTTAAGAATTAATTCCTTTATGCACTTTCAAAACTCAACAGAAAGCATGAAAATTGTATCTCATGTACATTGTAAATATATTTAAACATTAATAACTACAATTTTAGTGTAAAAAAACATGTTAGGACTCTACTCGTTTAATGTAATTCGGGCTATAACTTGCGTATTTCAAGAATTATAAACCAAAAAAAAAAAAAAATTAAAACAACTGGAAAAACAAAGTCGTGGATCCATCCCCATATGAACGTATTTCTGCTGGTTTCACCACAGCTCTGCATAAAGGACATGTTCTTTCTCTATCAAACCTGAGAAAAATAATAAGAATTCATATCAGTCAAATACCTAAAATACCCCTGATAACCGTATTTGAGGGGGAATTAATTATTAATCTAACCATTCTGAAACACAATCTTCACAGAAAATGTGTTTACAACGTAATAAAACTGGAGCTTGCATCTTTTCCTGACAAATAGCACACATGTCCCCTGCTTCAATTACCTGAAAACCAAGATTGATATAAGTATTTGACTACTGATGAAATGACTAAAATACCCCTGAACAAATTGCGACATTATACCTGGTCTGGTGTCGCGTAGGATCCATAATGGACTTCTTTTCTTGACAACGCCTTCAATGCAGTCCAGAAGGATCCAACCTGTGAGCAAGAGTGTGTACACTAATTAATATAAGTTAAAAAAAAAAAAAAAAAAAAAAAGGATAAATGCAAGAAATAACAATATTGATGATACCTTCTCAACTATTGATGTAAGCTTGAAAGTTAGATATAAGCCTGTTGTCAAAGAGGAAAAGAGGCTTCCATATTCTTTGTTTAAAAAGAATCGATACCAAACTGGAGCAGGTAAAAATGCACGATATAACAGCAGTGCATACTCAATCACAGTCAGCATTTGACCCTATAATATCAAAATTCACTAAATTTATATAATAAAAAAAAAAAAAGTAAAAACTGAGGAATAATTTGTTGTGTATGTATTCTTTCTTTTTGGTGATTAACGTCACATTACCTGTCTACGAAAGTTATGACCCTTGCCATTTTTATAATACATAAGCAATACAAGCTTAAAAGCCATTGCTGTCTGCCTCACCATTGTATCTGTACACAATAGATCAAACTTGTTAAAAAAAATGTAATACTTTCTTTAATAACGTGTGAAATTTATATATAAAAAGAAATTTCATACCATTCACAAGGATGGTGAATATAGCATGCCAGAATGGTGGAATTGCTCTTGGTGGAACCATGAACAATGGATAACAAAGATCATCGTTTTGATACCACCAGTATACTCCAATTACATGAAGTACAAAAACTATAAAATAACCACCAAGAACAGAGAGTCTTCTCTCCCCCTGCAAAATTTGTTGATTGTTAAGATTTAAGAGAAGATGATTAAGTGTGTTTAGAGTTAGAAAGGTTATTTATATAGTAGAAGTGGGATTGGGATTGGACCTTTAAAGCTGTCTGCTTTCGAAGAATATCATTAGACTTGTACATGAAAGCAGTTACATAGACCGTGACAAAGAAACCTACAGATATAGATGAAGTAGAGCAATTACTACAAAAAATTTCATTTGAAATGGTTTAAAAGGAGGAAAAGGTCAAATCTTGAGTACCTTGCAAATGCTGACGAATGAACACGATCAACAACAGCAAGGAAAATGGAAGAATCTGTTCAATCCACCTCGAAACCTGTTGCATATCATACCGCTGTTGATAAGATGAATCACTATGACTCCCACTCCTGCCATTTTCAGCATCTACGTCGGTGGAATCAGCCATCTCTCTCTCTCCTCCATCATTATCGCCGCCATTCAAGGCCACCGGTTCTCCACCCTCCCCACCATGTTGTTCTTCTGGATCTACCGCACCGATTATCCGTATAGAAACCTCCCCATTATCGCCATTACTGCTCGTAGCCGTATCTGAATCACTCGAACTACGGGCATCATGATGATGATGATGATCATGAATCAAACTCTCTGATTCATGGTAATCGTTGTTTGACCTAGGTCGAAGAACACCAGAATATTCAAGTACAGTAGTTACAGGCGCTTGTAGAAATCGAATTACAGAAAACGAAGAAGACGGCGTCATCCTCCTGGAAGAACTACTTCGACTCGTAATCCTCGGTGTTAAAGAGTTTGATGAAGCTAAATTATCAGTCTCATACGCATCAGAATTGGTGGTATCAACGCTCAAACCTGTTGTTTCCATTAAAATTGGTGTAGAAAACACCTTTAATCCAGAAAAAAAACAAAAAACTCTGAAACCCTTGAAATGTTATGAAATTGAGAGAGAAAAACAGAAGGAAAATAAAGTCAAAGCAATGGGAGATAATGAAAGATTAGGTAGCGATATAGACGTTTGTGTGTGTATGAATGTGTGTATATGATATGCGTATATTGAATCAGTGATTCGAAGATTGTGGTGATGAGAATTTGGGGATGAATTATAGGGTTTGTGCAGTTGAAAGATTCAATTCAAATTTGGGATAGGAAATGAAAACACAATAAAGAATTGAATTGAATAAGAAGAAGCGTGTAATGGCTGCAAAGTGGGAGAAGATTGAAACAAATTATTATAAAAGAAAAATAAGAAAACGGAAAATAGGGTGGATCTAGAACAAGTAGTCAGTGGGGGCCGTGTCTCCAAGGGCGAATGCTAAACGACCAACCATGCCTTCCAAATTTATTTTTTGTCCATATCTATAAAGGATTTTATGTTATATACTCTATATGATTAATTTCTTTAAAAAAATAAATAATTGAATGTATTTTGCATTCTTGTTGTTATTTTAAAACTAATAAAAAATATATGTATATTATATGACATAAGAATCTTAATAATTCTTGAAGAACATTTGATTATCTTGAGTGTGTTCTTTTCATTCTCGCAGCCAACAAATGCACACTTGTTTGTATTGTATACATCATTTGGTATGAGAACGAATTGAGATGTTCAACAGTTGAAGATCTCATGCAACATAGTATCAAACTTGAGAGACGATGTAACTATTCTAGATCAAGATGCAAGGTATGGAGATGGAGATGCGACTTTAATAGGTCTTAACTCAAGATCCAACTCTGGAGATTGGTTTTGATCCAAAATCTTCAATGTGATTAGTTTACAATTGTATTGATCGTACGATGATCTTTGTCAGCTAGCACTAAAGTTTGAGAAACTACAAATGACTACGGAAATATATGTTGTAATAGGGACCAACTTATTTACACCTTCTCAAGTCCTATCCCAACATAAACATTCCATCATCAATGAATTTTCTAGCTGATTTTACTGTAAAAATACCTTCCTTCTCCAAATCTCAAACTCATCTACCTTCTTGATACATATGTTATCTTAATATTATACACCTTTTTAACGTTAAAGAGGACAAATACGTCACCACTTTTTCTTGAGGTCGAAAGATGGTGGTGTTAGTTGAAGTATTGGTTTTCAAAAACAAAGTTAAGTTGCTAGTACGTCAGAAATAATAATTTGATAATCTATGCATATTATATAATTCTTTGATAACCTTCATATATATATATATATATATATATATATATATATATATATATATATATATATATATATATATATATATATATATATATATATATTATTCTGAGTTTGTATACACCCTACGTCTCAATCACAAAGAAATTTTAATTTCGTTGTCGATGTTTCAAGATAACTATAAAAAATAACTAGCAATCGAATTATCCATCATAAATCGTCCTTTATACATTTGATTAATAATCACATATATTAAAATTAATTGAGCTTCCATCGGTTCATAATTTAGCCTTAATTTCAACCATGCAATTTTTTTTGGAAGGGATTCTCGACATGTAATGCTTGTTGTTCACAACCAAAGGGAACCAAACAGAACAAAAAGAAAGCAATTATAAGCATAATTCACCCTTTACAGTCTACCCCAAGTTAGGTATCAAACCAACAACAAACTTCTCGAAGGCTAGTAAGGTCATTTCAGTTTTCTAAAAGTAGAATGAAAAGAGTCTGGTACGATATTATAGCAATACACTTTCACATGCAACTTGACAGTTTGTGTCTATAATTCTATCTACCTCACAATAATATATTTATATTTAAATCTTGAAATCTAGTTGTGAGAGTGTTGATCCCGCAACCCAAAATACAACCTATGTGAGTGATAGCATATAGAAGTAAGCCTACTGGTGAAGAAACAAGTATGCGACTTTCTGAATCAAATCAGATCAAACAAACTAAAATCTTTAAAAAAAAAAATGAGAGAAACAAGGCAACAACCCAATTGTTTTATATATGCATATTCAGTCGATTAAATGAACCAACTCCTACTCCTACTCTTTTGTTTATTTGCTAGTTGATAATTGATAATGATGCGTATTGTTAGGCTAATGTTAATTGACCCTTAAATCGGATTGCTCATTTGACTTCACATATTCAATTTTGGCACAATATTTTATTAAAATAGTGTTGTACTACACAATTTATGCATGTTAACTATTTGCTCAAATATTGACTTTTTTTTTTGCCCTTTAATTCTGACTCTTATAAATAAACAGCTCCATATCAAGTCTGTAACAATTTAACAACCCCACACACTTTTTTAAGATGACGATGTTTTTTTGGATATACAAAACCAAGGGTATATCACAAATTTACAAAATAAATTATCTAGTTACAAATAAAGAGAGTAACACAGAACACCTACACTTGTGCTTCAAGTCGGAACTTGTCATCATATTAGGTCTCACTTGTAGTTCCAATACTCCCAAAAAACTCTCTACATGTCAAAAACTACACAGAAATACAACAATGTTTTTTTACAATTACATAAAAAGATACGACAAATATTACAAAATATATCATGGACACCAACTATTACCATTATGCTGTTCAAGTACTACGCATACAATAACATTTCTAAATTTACACTAAAGGTTTAACTGGACAAACTTTACTTAATTTATTTTTTTTGGAAAAGGGATTGGATATTTAGTAGAATTAAATGATGGGTGAGTTGAACAAGAAAATGGTCATAGTTGGTGGCTATAAAGTGAGTGACATTAATAACCCTAAAGTAAAGAATGGCTATAATTTTGTGGTAATACTTTGAAAATCAGTGATCAATAAATACCTTGTAACCTTCAATTACTTGGTTGTTGACATTGCTTTATAGCCATCTTTCTCAAGAATGTTAGCTATGGAGATGTCACCCGTCTTTGTAATTCTTCCATCATCCTACAAACACACACATTCATAAATCATAATAACATAACACCAACATTGCACATACATACATACATAAAAACAGGAGATGATAGTATATATTACATACCATGATGTGGATATAGGTGGGCTTGATAAATTCCAAGAGTCTTCTGTAATGAGTAATCATCAAAACAGAGTTTGTGGGAGTCATTAAAGCATTTACTGCTTTTGCAACATCTCTTAATGCATCAACATCTAATCCCGAATCAATTTCATCCAATATAGCCAATTCAGCTCCAAGAACCTTTAAAAAAAAAAAAAAAAGATAAATTAAATAAGACCAATAAAAAGTTTTTTCTTTTTTTTTTTTAAATAAAAATGGTATAGCTATGAGAATACACATACTGCAAGTTGTAAAATCTCGTTTCGCTTCTTTTCACCACCACTAAATCCTTCATTAACATTTCTATTCAGAAAGTCTGCCTTTATATTCACCATTTCCAGCTTGGGCATGATGTAACCATAAAACTAAACCAAAAAATTGTAAATATTTAGAAAAGTATAAGGGGGTGATGTGGATATTATATATATATATATATATATATATATATATATATATATATATATATAATAGATACCTGAAGTGGATCAAGCTCTGGTAGATTGAGTTTTCTTCTTCTGGCATTGTAGGCCATTTGAAGAAAGTCACTGTTGCTTACTCCTGGAATTTCAACTGGAGATTGAAAGCTTAGAAAAAGTCCAGCAAGTGATCTGTCTTCTGCTTCCATTTCAAGCAAATTCTCTCCCTTGAAAATAACAGATCCTCCAGTAACTTCATAATCTCGGTGCCCAACAAGAACCTACAAAATCATAAACAAGATCACTGAAAATGATCAATTGTATTTTCATTGCTAATTAAATGGTGATAGTGGATGTGTATATGATGTTAGGCTAGTATCTATAATGGACTACCCATGAAGTAAATGACTTAATGAATGTCATTGCAGTTTCTTATAAGAGAAAAGAAATGTTAATCGAAACTCAAGATCAAAAGGTTGCACAAGCATTTGTTTTGATGTTAAGTGGTTTTCGAGAGATTTCGATTTTATTTTGAATACTAAGCTTTAATTTTATTACCTTTCTCAATTCCATTTCATTTGTCTGTCTTAATGATGACAATATAATGTAAGTGTAGATTTTTATCCCACCTATTGTTTAGGTTTTGAACAACAAATACACAGTTAAAGATGCAACAAATATATGAAGAAGCATACTAACCTTGGCAAAAGTACTCTTCCCAGAACCATTTTTGCCCATAATAGCATGAATCTAGTCAAATAAACAATCAACACATCATTAGAGATGGGTACAAATACCAGTAACTTATGATTAATAAATCAGAAAAACACAGGATTTTACAGAGATGGCATTATGCACTTTAGCTTTCCAAGTCAAACAGCCGATAATTTAAGTTCAAGTATGAATTAAATTCTTCTGATTGCTGATAGTAAATAATCACTACACTAAACAGTATAACAATTACAAAAACAGGAAAAATACTGAATTCGAGTGTATAAAAATCTCCATATTAATTTGAAATTCAAAGATACTGCGTCAAGTCAAAAATCGAATCAATAATACATCAATTATATAATCACAGAACGGTATAATTTGAAAAAGAGTAGAAGAGACCTCGCCCTCGTAGATTGAGAGGTTAACACCGTTGAGAATTTTCTTTCCCGATTCAGCGATGACGGCAGTGAGGTCCTTGACTTCCATAAGAAGCTTCGGCGGTCCACCTCCTCCGTCCGACACAGAGCCAGCCGGTGATTCAGCGGCGAGGGTTGCGGTTAATCTAAACGATGAAAATCTCCGCGGAAAACGGCGGCGGCTGGGAAGGGCAGAGACCGTAAACAAAATGGAACCGGAGGTTGGCTTCTGGAATGAGAGAAGAGGAGGAGGAGAAGGTGGAGAACAGCATCCAAATCGGTGGAGCAGAGCCATTGCCGATCCTTTTGGAAGCCGGAGGACGAAGAAGATGGGTTCGATAAAATAAGCAGGGATTTCACGTGCACCGCACGCGATAGCATCTTCTTGTAATGTCCATTGGCATTTGGGCTTCGGGTCACGTACATATCAAACAGTATGGCCTTTAATGAAACCCAATCTAAGTCCCAAACCCATTCCAATATTCCATTATCATTTACTAAACTTATATATAAGATGTTATAATATTAATTTATATAAGTTAATTGAGATGATCTAATTTTTTTATTTTTTTTATAATATATCTATTTCTTTTGAGCTTTTGATATTATTTTGCTACTGTATATTAACATTTAATTGAGTTTTATAAACTAGTAAAATTCAATATAATTCTTAAAATATACTAACTGATGTGTATCAAGAATTAGGGGTCTTAGCGGATGGTTAACAGAACAGGAATTATTTATCAAAATATTATTCATGATTTATATATTGTTATTTCTTGATCTTAACCCAAAAATTTGTTAACCAATGCTTAGTTAAGTTCTTTTTCTGTTTGGATTGTCGATTAACCTCTCAACCGTTTATATAGCAATAAGTATATTTCAAAATTTAAAATTCCATAAATAAATTACAAATAAGTATAATCCTTTAACATAATTTTTTCAAAAATCGAAAATATTAATCAAGATGAACGATAACCAAATAGGTAAGTTTATAATGATTATCAACTAAAAATTTGGGATGACTAAGATTGACACATGGTACATAGCTTTTCTAGTGTATTCAGTCTTACATGGAGGAGACTGTAGCGTCAACTGTTAAATACTCCCTATGTGGGAATGAAAGCAAAATGTGTTTGAATTTAGCGTTTTTGTGTATATATTTGTCTTTATCACTAATTAAACATTCATATTGCTTATTCATAGAGTTCTATTAGTACGTCTAAGAAATGTGATTATTCAAAGTTTGTCATTAATGTGGGTTGGCTTGGATTCCTTAGTGTTGCGCGTCTATAAGGACGATGTAGTTTGGGATGCGGATGCATAGACTATTTTAATTAGTCAATTTCAAAATGATGTTTAAATATACCTTAATTGACTAAAATACTCATGTATCTATTGTTAAGAAGTGTAGCTAAATATCCCATGAACTATATCAAAATCTGAATCATCAATATCAAGCCAGGATAAAATAGCATTCCAAGTTCTAGGTGCCACTTCGCTCCTAATAAAAAGACGATTGAGTTGCTCCACCTCAAGTTGACAGATCAGATACAAAATTGAAGGAACATCTATGTTTATGTTTGCTAAATTACTCTGAATTGGAAGTCTATCCAGCAAAACATGTCATATCAAAATATTTACCTTTCTTGGGACAAAAGGATGCCAACTAGTTTCCATTCCCAAGGAAGGTAAAATCGCATCATCAATCTACCTCATAGTATCTCCAACTGTGAAACACCTATCAGAACCAACTTCCTATACCCATCTATCAACTTAATCAGACAAAATAACATTCTAAATACAATCTATCAGATCTGAAAATTATACCATTTCTTATCCCCTATGTAAATGATGTCACCAAGACCAAGACCACTCTCCATTAACCCTTCTATCTGCAATGGTACTATCCTTATCCAACTCTAGCTCAAACAATCTTGAGAATCTAGTCGCCAAAATATCATTGTGTCGTCTATCTTTCTAGAATTTTGTAGTTATCCAGTTACCAACTTCTCTCTTGATGAAAGAATCAACCACACATCGGTTTTGAAGTTTAGAAAAAGAAGTCAAAACTCTAGCCCACGACACAGACCCAATACTTCTAGTTCGATAAAACCCCCACTAGACCTATACAACTCCTTAACAACGTTCACCCAAATCAAGTTACATTATTCAAGAATCTCCACCACCATTTATGAAAAGAGTTAAGTTAAAGGTGTTGGATATTTTGGGACCACTAATAAATGTATATAAATAATGTTATCATTAATTTTATATTATTATGGAAATTATATAAAATTGTTGATGGACCGATTTTATTAATAAATAAAGATATACACTTACCATGTTTATCTTGTGGGTTGAGTTCCCGGTTTGACTCAAGATCTCCTAAATCTCTAATATCTTTCACATTCGGTTATATTTCCATCTATATAAATACGTGATGAGAAGCAGATTTACAAGATACGAAAATACACATAAGAAATCATTTTAGGGTTTGCTGTGGGATTTAGAGAGGGTTCTTGAGATCAACTGGAAAACCAAACCCTAGTTCTTCAGATCCGAATATCATAATGAAATCAAGTATGTAATCGTTCTTTCATGTCTAAGTTTTCTTTTAATCAGATTCGAGACTAAAGATCTTCATATTATGCTTCCACGCTTTATGTTTTGGTTATATAAATTAACCAACAATTGGTATCAGAGCCTACTCGAATTTGTTACTAGAAATCGTTTTTATTAGTATTGTGTTTATACATTCTTGTTTTCTCCTCGAAGCAGAAAATTGTTTTATGTGTTATTTCTTTTGTTTTCTTGAGGCACGATCACAAAAGGTTGTGGATATGATATATATGTTTGTTGTTCTTTGTGATAATTTAAGAAAATGTTATGTTTAAAGGCTCAATGATTATGTGATAGTTTAAATCTTGACTGGTGCAAACTCTTTTCACTTTTGTGTATGACAACATGGCTTCCTTCAACATTATTTTAATGGAAGCATCGTACTGGGAGCCAGATTGTGTGTATATATGTTTTAAACTCGGCATTTGTAAATGCATAGCTTGTAGTCTTTTATGATTTTGATGTAGACCACACACAATAAAAACTTTCAATTCTGTTCTTTTATTTACGATATTTGGTAGACATCAATTTATGGACGAATTGAATTAAATTGACATGCACATATTTATGGGCTGTAAATTAATTTGAAGTCGTAAGTTTTATTATTATTTTGGAGATCACATACTCATGCACTTGCTAAAATAAATACTGCTCAAATAAATAAATAATTGGCTTTAACCCTTGTGTGTTTATATTATAGCAGCTTTTGTTTTGTGTTTTACCATATAATATGGTTTATATGCCATTTACTGCTATCATGTGTCTACAATTCAATTATGATAGTGTGTATGTAATTTAATTCAAAGAGCCAATTTTTTTTAGCACTGTTAATGATATACGTATGAGTTATTATCATTTTTTGGGTTTTCAATAAATTCATTTATGGCATTATTTATTTATTTGGAAATTTTATTTTCATACTATATCGTCAATGTGATCCATTTTGTGAAAATAATTATCTAAGAATCTAAATATTATTGCAGTTTATGTGTTTATTATTGCGGATGTCAATCGACCCAAAGGTAGGTTGATATTTTTCCGCAAAAACATATATATGATAATAAACATGCGACAATTTTTTTGGTTACCTGTCATTAATAAGACAATCCAAAGAATGGCTTGTTAAATGACATGAATTATTGTAGATGTTTATTATTAGATTTTATGGTTTATGTGTTAATTAATGCGGATATTAATCGACCCAAAGGTAGGTTAATATTTGGGCGGATAAACACATGTTTGATGATAAACATGTGATAATTTTTAGGTTACATGTTATTAATAAGTCAATCCAAAGAGGAGCTTATTAATTGATATGATATTTTGTGAATTCGTATTATCAAAATTTATAGTTTATGTGTTTATTAATGCGGATATTAGCCGACCCAAAGGTAGTGTAACAACCCGTTATTTCAAGTCAGTAAAAATCGAGTCCTGTAACCTCTTTGAGAAAGAAAATAGAATATCATCGAAAAATGAAGTATTCAAAAACTCTATTTGGAGTACACTATGTGGTAGTTATCGTCTTAAGGTTTCCAAACATATAAATAACACAAAAATCCGAGTTATAACGAAGAAGTTATGCTCATTCTAAGTTTTCCGACAAAAACCAGCAATGCGAAGTTGCGTAAAAACGCAAAGTTTCAATAAAACACTTTTCGACCTTAGGTGTCTAAATGAAAGTCGTAGATATCATTAAACTACAAAATACATAAAAAGAACGCTCAAATCGGACATCGTATGAATAAGTTATGAATTTTTAAAGAAATTCCTTAATCACGTCATTTTAATAAATAAATAATAAAAATAATTCCGGAATTTGCCAACGGAATCTAAATGAAAGTTGTAGATCGTAGTCTCACCTTCGGTGGGATATAAAGAACGTCAAAAACGGAGTTCGTATGAAGGAGATATGAATTTTCGAAGTTTGATAATTAATTTATATATATTTTTTAATAAAACTTCGGTATTATCCGAAGGGGAGTCAGCGACCTCATCCGAGGTACGCGCTGCGTACTCTTATACGCCCCGCGTACCCGAGGAACTTGGCCGCAAACCGTCCACGTCGCCCTATGCGAGGCACCCGACCCGCCCGTCCGACCCGCCGTCCCATCCGACCCGACTGCTTGAGCCGTCCCATCCGAGGCCGAGGCAGTCGAGGCTTCGATCACGCATGACGTACGCGTACGCGCTGCGTACGAGCGTACGCCCCGCGTACGTGGCCTCTCAGGCCCCCTATAAATAGCATGCGAGGGTTTCCGGGAAAATGGCCCATTCTCTCTGATTTTTCTTGCGTTTTACCTCGTTTTCCATGCTCGCACTACCCCGAAGCCCTGGTCATTTTGTGCAAGTCCCGAAGGTCGATTTTTCTCCCGAGGAATCCCGAGATTTCCGAGGAAAATCCATTTCCCGAGACGAAACTCTGTCCGGTTTTCCATCTTGCTATCTTCAAACTTTCATGTGAGTTCATACCCCTTTCAAACACACTTTAAATACATTTTGAATGCTTTTATACTCTTTTAGGGGGGGAATACAAGTAAACATACGGTTATTATCGTGTATTTTATAAAGTTTCACTTCACTTGTTTTATCGAATAAATCACTTGGAACTCATTACTATTATGGAAAACTCTTGTCATACTTTGCGTGCATCAGACATTATACAAAGTATATAATGATTTCAAAGTAACTTTCGTTGTTAAGTCGTTTTATACATTCTAAAAACTTATGATTTTTCTTTGTCAAACATTGTGAAAAAAGGGATAAACTTTGCATAGAAAACTAT